AAGAAAGTCCAGGCAGTACGCGCAAATCAGAGAGCAACGGTTTGCCTCACGGTGAACGACCGTCAGGTGAGATTTCAGATCGACACAGCAGCCGACGTCAACACAATCCAGCCGCGATTTGAGCGGAAAGAGCAGGGGTCGAGACACACCTGAGTGATGTGGACGGGGACAAAGATGAAGGCGGCGGGAGAGACGACACTTGTGGTGACGAACTAACGAACGGGCCAGCAAGTCCCTGTCAAGTTCACAGTTGTAGAGAACAGGCTAAGCTGCCTGCTTGGGTTGTCATCCTGCGAAGATTTTGGTTTCATCACCATCAACAAGGAGAGGATGGTCGCCTGGGTGAACAAAGGAACGCTGGGAACAGTTCACCATCAACAAGGAGAGGATGGTCGCCTGGGTGAACAAAGGAACGCTGGGAACAGTTCACCATCAACAAGGAGAGGATGGTCGCCTGGGTGAACAAAGGAACGCTGGGAACAGTTCACCATCAACAAGGAGAGGATGGTCGCCTGGGTGAACAAAGGAACACTGGGAACAGTTCACCATCAACAAGGAGAGGATGGTCGCCATGGTGAACAAAGGAACGCTGGGAACAGTTCACGAGAAGACAGATCCCAGCATCAGACCACAGGCGCTGCCCTCCCGAAAAGTCCGATTTGCTTGATTGATGATTGATTGAGTAGGTGTTTTACGACGCTATCGACCCAATTTTGGTCATTTAAGCGCCATGTCCAATTTGCGCTGGCGGACAAAGTAAAAGAAGAGTTGAACAACTTGTTAGAGCGAGAACATCGGAGAGAGCCACAGAGGCCACAGAATGGGTGAGCCAAATGGCCATTGTGGAGAAACAAAACGGATCACAAAGAACCTGCATTTATAGATCCTCCACCTCTCAACAAAGCTCTACAGAGGGAACATTACAAGCTCCCAACATTGGATGATGTCCTGCCAAAGTTCAAAGATGCCAAGAACTTCACCAAACTGGACGTGAAGGAAGCGTTCTGGCATATCAAACTCGACACAGAGTCAAGCAAGTTGACTACTATGATTACACCTATCGGTAGATTTCGTTGGAAAAGATTGCCATTTGGACTGAACGTCTCAAGTGAGATATTCCAAAGACATCTCGCAACAGCCCTAGAAGACCTCGAAGGCATTGTCAACGTCGCAGACGACATCCTCGTGATCGCCACCGGATCAGCAGCTGAAGATGCTGGGAGAGATCAGCACACAAAATGTGAGGAACTGAAGCAGCGATGTCGAGAGAGGGACGTCAAGCTGAACGAACAAAAGGCAACGGATCAACAGCTGAAGATGCTGGGAGAGATCACCACACAAAATGTGAGGAACTGAAGCAGCGATGTCGAGAGAGGGACGTCAAGCTGAACGAACAAAAGGCAACGGAAGAGTGCACAGAGGTTATATTTATGGGCCACAGGATACGCGCCAGAGGCATAGAACCAGACAAGAAGAAAGTTGAAGCTATCGTCAACAAGCCAACCCCGAAGGATGTCCATGACGTTAGGCGGTTCTGCGGTATGGTGCAATACTTGGACAAGTTTTTGAGTGGACTCTCCGACAAACTGCAACCTCTGGGGGGCTTGACGGAAAGGGACACGCAGTTTGTCTGGTCGGAAGAGTGCGAGAGAGCTGTATCTGAGGTAAAAAAGATGATCACGGAAACTCCAGTCCTGATCTTTTATGACCCAAACAACCCGTTAGAAGTCCAAGTAGACTGCGCTGCAAGGATGGTTTAGGTGTTTGCCTGATACAAGATGGTCAGTCACTGGAGTATAGCAAGGATGGTTTAGGTGTTTGATACAAGATGGTCAGCCACTGGAATATGGCAAGGATAGTTTAGGTGCCTCATGCAAGATGGTCAGTCACTGGAATATAGCCAGGATAGTTTAGGTGTTTGATGCAAGATGGTCAGCCACTGGAATATGCGTCCCCAACCCTGACAGAGACTGAACAAAGATGGGCGCAGATTGAGAAGGAGATGCTAGCTGTCGTGTTTGGTCTGGAAAGATTCGACCAGTGCACATTTGGACGGCAAGTGTACCTGACCACTGACCACTGACCACAAGCCCCTGGAAACCATCAGTGGGAAACCCCTCAGCGAGGCCCCAAGAACACTCCAAAGATTGATCTTCAGGAGTAGCCGATGTGACTTCTCATTGACGTGGGCAAGGAAGCTCACTCCTCATCGCCGACTCACTGCCCAGAGCTGCCATCCAGAGCCTGGATGCAACAGAAACCCCTGAAACAAGGAGCAGCATTCCTGACGCCATGTTGGATAAATGGCATGGGTTTAACGCCCCTATCAACACTATTAGGTTATTTAAGAGGCAGACCTCCTAGTTTAACGTCCGTCTCCGATAGGACCGAGCCAAGTGGGAAATTCGTGTAAAGTGCCTTTCCCAAGGACACAACGTCGGACCGAGCTGAGGCTCGAACCCCCGAACCCTCAATCTCACGATTACGAGTCCGGTAGCCTAACCCCTAGACTACCGCCGCCATGTTGGATAAACTACGGGCAGAGACAAGCAAAGACACAGAGCTACAAACACTAGCAAGTGTCATCAGAAGTGGGTGGCCTGAAGAATAAGAGCTACAAACACTAGCAAGTATCACCAGAAGTGGGTGGCCTGACAGCAAATGGAAAGTGTCCGTGGAGGCACGACCATTTCCTGACGACAAGGACACGATGAACTGGCCCGACGGACTTATGCTGAAGGGAGAGAAAGTCCTAGCTAGTCCCAAAGGCAACGAGAGAAGAAACCAAAAGCTAGAGCTGGGCGAAGAATCGATCCCGGAACCGATTCCCGCGATTAATGCTGAAGAAAAGTATCGTTCGCAGCTACTTTAATCACTAAAATCTTTTTTTTTTTTTTAAGAACGTATTTTTAAAAAAATAAAAGCTAATGCTTTGTAGTGTTCCGAAATCAAGGTCATCCTAAATCTTGAAGATGTTTTGATAACCACCGGAAAAAATTATATCATTAGAAAATGAGTAATTGGGTTCGGAGTCAAGTCCTATGATTCCTAGCTTTCAATAATCGCGAACCTAGCCGCCCAGCACTACCAAAAGCAAGCTGCACGCCGCTCACCTGTCAACAGAAAGTGTGCGGAGTAGAGCACGAGAAGTTGTTGTCTGGCCCGGAGTGGCATCTCACGACAAGCAGATTGCAGAATCCTGCGACGCTTGCCAGAGAACAAGACCAAGAAACCAGAGAGAAAAACCTGAGACAGCACGAGCAAGGAGACAGACCATGGGAGAAAGATGGATCAGATATCTTCGAAATAAAAAAATCGACAGTACCTCGCAACCGTCGACTATTTCTCCAGCTTTATTGAGGTAGATTACTTGCCTAGAGCGTCAACAGAGGCAGTGATCACCAAACTCAAAGCACATTTGGCCAGTTACTGCGTACCGAGAGTTCTGGTCTCCGACTGTGGATCTCAATACACATGTGCACAGTTCAAGTCATTAGTTGCTCGATGGACTCCCACTGCGCATCTCAATACACATCTAAGACCAAAGTGCACGCCATGGAACCCCCCCCCCCCCCCAAACACACAGAAGAAGCGGGTACAGACTTACAAGTATATTAGAACAAAACAGCCGACGTAATTGAACAATATGCCCAAGGGGCCTAACTTTATGCATGCCAGGTGACATTGCTACAAATGAGAGAGAGAGAGAGAGAGAGAGAGAGAGAGAGAGAGAGAGAGAGAGAGAGAGAGAGAGAGAGAGAGAGAGTGAGAGAGAGAGAGAGAGAGAGAGAGAGAGAGAGAGAGAGAGAGAGAGAGAGAGAGAGAATGAATGTTTTACGTAGCGGGTTGTCCCAGCCCGTGAGACATGTATTTACTTGGCCTAATGTCCTGTCTTGTTGTGCGTTTGCGTGAGTGCACCTTTAGGTCTAACTTTTGAAACGTCTACTGCCATTGTTAACGACCAAGACAAATTTCTCCCTGCGAGATGAATAACGATTGTCATTGTCATTGTATGACATTGTATGACATGACATTGTATCCCTCTCAGCCCGGGTCGGAGCTGACAGCCAGGTGGGGTCGAAACAGACCACCTGATAAATTATCAAAGTTGTGTTGATGGCGGTACATTGTGTATGAAACACGATCTCCTTGTTTTAGTAGAGGTTTTACGGCGCTCGCAACTGCATAAGGTCATATGAGCGCCAAGGGGTGGATGTCAACAGAGAAGTCCTTACAGGGAATCAGGCTTACTCTGCTCACCTCTCTAGCTTCAATAGCACAAAGTCTGCTACGACTATCAAAGCACCCCGGAAATAGCGGGTCACAAGAGTGTGACAAACATACAAAAGAAGTAGAGGAAAAATGACGATAATAAGGATTAGGAAAGAAAAAGCAGCAGTTCCCTGTTGTAGATCAGGCACAGTTATGAGCACAACATTGATGAATCAGCCCATTTACAGTTCATGTTAATATCCCCCTTTGGGAATGGCCTAGAGACACTTTAGTCAGTAGCACCACCCAGAGGGTTTACGACCTCCAATTGCAATCACAAAATCCCATTTCGCCACAGAAACACCCTTACGCTCATCCTATATTTAAACATCCATCTTCTAACAAGGATGCCCTAGATCTACTTTTCCTTCCATCATAATAAATACATGTGTGAGCATCATTTTTTTGGAAGTAAATAAAGTTCACAACCGGACGAGAGAGAGAAAGAGAGGGGGGAGGTAGAGAGAGAGGGAGGGAGGTATAGAGAGAGGGGGGGGGGGGGAGAGAGCAAAAGAGAAAGAGAGAGAAGGGGAGGCATAGAGAAAGAGAGAGAGGGAGATAGAGAGAAGGAGAAAGAGAGAGAAATATACAGAGCCAGAGAGAGAGATATACAGAGAGAGAGAGAGAGAGATATACAGAGAGAAAGAGAGAGAGGGAGAGAGAGAGAGCATATATATAATATATATAGGCCTATATATATATATATATATATATATATATGCATAAAATCAACCTGGTATGACGGAATTTCACAAATCATAAATACTATCATTTCTTTTCACACTGGCCTTTGATAGTTTGGATACCTAGGATTCTCTACAACACCTTGACCAAACTTATATTCTAGAAACTTCTTGACATTGTTCGGAGCGCTGGCGTTGACGCCAGCAAACTCTACGACACTGAGGGGTGTGAGAAAACTCTCTGGAAACTCCGTGTCCTGTCTGTGGGTGGGGAACCACGAGTCTTTGGTCATAACCCCGCCCTTGGAGTAGAAGGGGAAAATGTCCACGTGGAGACGGTTCACCTCCGAGTACTGCACGCGGAAGAAATCTCCCTCGGAAGCCTTCTCCCACACAAAGTCTTGAGCGTCGGTGAACGGCTCGGCCTGTGCCTTCACCAGACTGGAGCACTTTGGAATGTCGGCCTTGTACATGCCCACGTCCACATCGTAGTCCCAGGGGATGATGTCGCCGTGGCGAGCCGCCCCCAACAGACTCCCCCCCTCCAGCCAGTAGCGAGCCCCGCACGCCTCCAGTGCTCGGAACACGTGATTGGCCGTTTCTCTCAGCGCCCTCAGACAGCACGGGGGCGTCCAGCGACCTTGGTACAGAAACTGCGGCATGTCCTTGAGGACCGTGCCGAAGCAGCGTGGCTTGTCCTTGTCGCAGCCGTAGTAGAGAGAGGCACCAGTGGGCAACACTTCTCGTTTAATCCCCACACTCCGGTAAAAAGCCTTTGTCCTGTCTGTGATGGCTCGCTTTCGCTTCCAGCTGGAGTGGGGGTCAGTGTACAGTGGCCTGATGACCTCCAGACGACCCGACTTCATCACTCTCGTTTTCCAGTTTTTGACACGAGCCTGGACATAGTACGTAAACGGGAAAGGTCGCGACAGAGGTTCTGTGAGGGACCTCAGCGTTTCTGTTTCTAAGAATAACCCATGGCTGCCTTTTATTAGCTGGCATTCGCTGAGAGCACTTCCCGCATCCTGCCGCGGGAAAGAAAGAGTCCAGCGCTTGTAATCCACCGTCATGTTGAAACATTCCAGTTTACTGTCAGACACTGGTACAGCGACGGCTTTTGTATTCCTCCGCGAGCGTAGAAAAGCCGCTGCACTTTTGATGAACGTCCAGTCCCTGATCTTCACGTTGTCGGGGACCACAAACACAAAGTCTGTGTCCACCTGGTGGAGAGGACAACAGCTGGTGTGGTTGTCCAACAGATTTCCGGCCAGAGTCACAATACGAGCTGAACCTTTAGGATTGAGCTGAACGGGAGGATAAGGAACGTCGTCCGAGATAACGAGAACTTTGACATGTTTCAGTGTTCTCTCGAGCTCTTCCACAGAATCCGTGATAGCATTGTCAAAGTCTTCGAACTCTCTGATGATGACGGTCACCCGTTCTGGAAGGTTTTCTTTGGTAATTGGACCAGTAGATTTGTGCTTTCCTTGGTGAGTGTCGGTATACTCCACGTCTTTCTTCGCCCTCCCACCATCTGGCAGCTTAGTGTAGATTAGAAGATACAGGATTACGATGACAGCCAAAGATATGACAATCACCCGCAACCTCCTGTTTCTGAACACAACAGCCATACTGGCTTCACAACGAGGCACTTCGATGATCACATCAGGAGGAATGGCGGACAACTTGTGGTGTGCTCAGACGTCCAAGCTTCATCAACATCTGGCGTGTGTTGTTCACGTTATAGAAACGCTCATCCTGACACATCCTGACACATCTGGTTTGTTTGTTTACGTCATAGACACGCTAATCCTGACACATCCTGACACATCTGGTTTGTGTTGTTTACGTCATAGATATGCTAATCCTGACACATCCTGACACATCCTGACACATCTGGCTTGTGTTGTTCACGTCATAGATACGCTAATTCTGACACATCTGGCTTGCGTTGTTCACGCCATAGACATGCTCATCCTGACACATCCTGACACATTCTGACACATCCTGCAAAGAGAAAATGAGTACAGACAGTCAGAGACTAAACAATAACACTCAAACTTGTCCAAGACGACCATCCACAGTCTGGGAGAAAAGTGGTTGTCTTGTACGGGTGGATGTCTTGGGCAAGGTCAACAGAACATGAACAAACGCAGGGGGAGAAAGTGGGAAGTGGTCATTTGTACAGGTGATTGTCAGGTACAGGTGATTGTCAGGTACAGGTGATTGTCACGTACAGGTGATTGTCACGTACAGGTGATTGTCATGTACAGGTGATTGTCACGTACAGGTGATTGTCACGTACAGGTGATTGTCATGTACAGGTGATTGTCACGTACAGGTGATTGTCATGGACAGGTGATTGTCACGTACAATAATAATAATAAATAGCATTTGTATAGCGCAAATCCCCGCTCAACAGCAGGCTCTATGCGCTTTACACTATATTATTACCCCAGCAGACCATAGAACACTCATAAACATTCTCAACTTCCCGGGAAGCACACAGTGCAAGCAGCTGATTAAGCGCTCAAACACTAACAAACTGACAAGATCTTTCACTGTCTATAGCCGGGTACCCATTCCCACCTGGGTAAAGTGAGGAAAATTCGTGTAAAGTGCCTCTCCCAAGGACACAACGTCGGGCCCCTGGCGGGATTCGAACCCACGACCTTACGGTTGCGAGTCCGAGAGCCTAACCACTAGGCCATGTACAGGTGATTGTCATGTACAGGTGATTGTCACGTACAGGTGATTGTCATGTACAGTGATTGTCATGTACAGATGATTGTCACGTACAGGTGATTGCCATGTACAGTGATTGTCATGTACAGGTGATTGTCACGTACAGGTGATTGTCATGTACAGTGATTGTCATGTACAGATGATTGTCACGTACAGGTGATTGCCATGTACAGTGATTGTCATGTACAGGTGATTGTCACGTACAGGTGATTGTCATGTACAGTGATTGTCATGTACAGGTGATTGTCACGACCATTAGAGCAGGTTCAACTCAATAATAATAATAATAATAATAATAATAATAATAATAATAATAATAATGAAGATAATTTCTATAGCGCCCACTCCCGTGTAAACACAGCTCTAGGTGCTTTACATAAATGCATGTAAGAAAAATATTCACGCACGCTGCACACACACGCACACTCATACAAACACACACACACTAACACACACACTCACGCACACATGTGCACACACACATGCGCACCAAACACACACGCGCGCGCGCGCGCACACACACACACACACACATCTGGTGTGTATATATAATAACATTGGGACACAGGTACCAATCACTGACTGTATACATCTGTCACATACATGGGACACAGGTACCAATCATTGTGTGACTGTATACATCTATCACATACATGGGACACAGGTACCAATCATTGTGTGACTGTATACATCTGTCACATACATGGGACAGAGGTACCAATCAGTGACTGTATACATCTGTCACATACATGGGACACAGGTACCAATCATTGTGTGACTGTATACATCTGTCACATACATGGGACAGAGGTACCAATCAGTGACTGTATACATCTGTCACATACATGGGACACAGGTACCAATCAGTGACTGTATACATCTGTCACATACATGGGACACAGGTACCAATCATTGTGTGACTGTATACATCTGTCACATACATGGGACACAGGTACCAATCAGTGACTGTATATATCTGTCCCATACATGGGACACAGGTACCAATCAGTGACTGTATACATCTGTCACATACAGGGTACTCGTAACCCATCACTGTGTCCATGGAAGACGTGACAGTTTCTGTAACCTTTTCTGATTGTGTCTCTGTTGTAGAGGTATCTTAAAATTTGTTCCACACAAGTGGCTCACCGGCACAGAAACTTTCCTGGCCGGGGCTATGAATTTTGAGCACTTCCTGTCCTCGTCATCAGACAGCCATCTGAGACAAAAGTTCTCCACGTTGCTACGTGCAGGGGAGGGATGACTCAGACTGACTGTACTTCTTAATAATAGTTGAGTGGGGGCTGAGGGTGGAAATAAAGGAGATATTCAATTTATTCAATTACTTGTTTTTTATTTATCAAACAATAGTCCTAAATATAAGATGCAAGCACAGGTGATAATGTTAGTAAGACTGATACAAACCATATATATGATATTATGAATATCAAAGCGGACAGGATAGCTTTTGAAAGGTGTGAAGTTTTGACCGCTGCTTGCTGACTGGACTGGTGACCCTTGACCCCAACACGAACCACTGGCCTTCTAGAACCACATCCCCTTTTCAAAATCACCTTTTCAAAATCCCCTACCAAAGACGGAAAATGTTTCAGATGGAATTTTAAAAAAAAATTTCTGGCTCCTTTGTACTTCCGTGCTGAACAAGTTTGACTGTATTTCTTATTGTTGCTGATGTTTTGCTGTCAAGAGCCAAAGCGAAATATGGATGCATGTGTGTGTGTGCGTGTGTGTGTGTGTGTGTGTGTGTGTGTGTGTGTGTGTGTGTGTGTGTTTTGAATGATTCATGGACATGGACTGGGGGGGGGGGGGGGGGAGAGGAGGGGGGTGGCAAAGGGAGTGATCAGAGAAGGAAATAATCTTCTCAGATTCTTGTTCAGTTTGATCATCATGCTATTTACCACAGGCCACCTGCCTTACTCAACAGAGAGCAATACACTCCCAGGCACTTATCTCATCCCACGTGATGACCAGCAACATGCATGCATCCATTTCTAATTTGGTCCAGTAATATTTCCCTTTCACATCAGTCTAATGTCCAGATGTTCTAGTACGTTCCTTGTTCGTTTCTACATCAGTCTAATGTCCACATGTTCTAGTACTTTCCTTGTTCGTTTCTACATCAGTCTAATGTCCAGATGTTCTAGTACTTTCCTTGTTCGTTTCTACATCAGTCTAATGTCCAGATGTTCTAGTACGTTCCTTGTTCATTTCTACATCAGTCTAATGTCCAGATGTTCTAGTACGTTCCTTGTTCGTTTCTACATCAGTCTAATGTCCAGATGTTCTAGTACTTTCCTTGTCCGTTTCTATCTGTTTTACTCAAATTTCAACTCCATTCGCAAATTATTTATCTAGTTTTCGAGAAGGCTGTCGTTATTTTCACCAGGGGTGACAATAGAAATATAATATTATTTTCATCCGGGGTGAGAGTACAGTAATATCCATTTTATTCTCATCTGGGTTGAGAATAAAACTATTATTCTCAACCTGGGTGAGAATAAGATGGATATTATTTTCACTCGGTCTGAGAAATTATTCTAAGGCTACCTGGGTGCTGAGAACGGGTAGCCTTGCAATACATGTACATGTAGGCTAATAGGATGATAGAAATTAATTCGTGACCTGCCCCCGAGCGCTGGCCGATTTTTTAAGGCTCCCGCGGGGAATGATATTATTTCATTTTAAATTTAAATCTTGACTGTATGCACGCATACCTTCACCATATCCCTAGACAAGTGTATACATTTCTCAATTCAGGAAGGAATTCACTTGCCAGAATCGTATGTTTTTAAAAACAATAGCCTCTAAGCTGAAAGCTGTTTTAGAATGAAACAATGTTTGTTTGTATAGTAGGTCAGACTGAGAATTGGATTTGCTTACAACACAATAAATATTTTATCCCTAACAAAACCCATGAAGGCGCCTTGACCCGTTGGCGATTTTAGTATTTTAGTCGCTTCACGCACCCAGCGGAGTGAGAGGGGAAGTCGAGAGAGAGGGAGGTGAGTTTTGTCGCCTGGAGTGCTCAGTGACAGGAGGGGCCGGGTCCTAGGCCTGAGAGATATAACTACCTTAAAGTTAAAGTCGAGAATAATAATTAGGGTAGGCTAGGCCTAATAAAAAGACGAAGAAAAATCTTGAAACGAAATAAAAAGGGTGGAAACGGAAAAAAAGAGTGAGAATACTAGGCTGTCGTTATTCTCACCCGGGGTGAGAACAGTATCCATTTTATTCTCACCCTGGGTGAGAATAATCAGTGTTTCGAGAAATTAGATGTTGTTATACAGACTAGCCTATAAATATTACAGGCCCTGATATTTAAAAGAATTAAGGGGGGGGGGGGGGGGGGGGGGGTTCAGGGAGCTCTGATCTAAAAAAATCAGTATTTTTTTACTTTCCCTCCCGTCTCACACTTAACTACCAGTTGTCTCTTTTCTACTAAATAATGATGCCCTGAACACGAATATCAACTTCATTTCCGTCGCAAATGAATAGTTTTTGAAATATTTGATTGTTCTTATTCGAGATAGACGAGCTTTGGATCAATCGGGGGGGTTCCAGGGGGGCCTGCCCCCTTGTGGTAAAAGAAAATCTGGGGGGGTTACAGGGGGGACATCCCCCCTCTTTTAACCCATAATTTGATATTTTACTGTTAGATTTGAAATTTTCTTGAAAATAATTAATTTGCGACAGTTTTAATGGCTTTATTTGTGATCTGCAGCAAACAGTACTGCAGTTTGACCCCTGAAGCAGTGCATCTGCGAGCGGGAGTGAAAGTAAAAATTTACCCAAAAATCTAGGGGGAGTTGCAGGGAGAAATTTGAGAAACCCATCAATTAGAAATCTTTCACAGACACGACAGTGAGTAGACACTCTACCCCTAGACCAAGAGTGGCATACTAATTTAATAGATCTAGATCTAGATCTAGAGTCTAACCAGGTCACTGCGCATCTGTTTTGGTGCGCAACCCCCGGTCTCCTGCTTTGTTTTGGATAAGAACAGCGAAAATGAGGTCACTTTCTGTGAGCATGCGCAGAATGCAGCTTATTTCACTTTCGTTTTGGAGGTTCCCGTCAACACACGTGATTCTACGGTGTCGGAAAATTTTGCCCATTCATATTAATGGTTTTCGTAACCGGTATCGGTGAATTTACTAAGCGCTTGAGTAGTCGATTATTTAGCGCATCTAGTTAAACTAGCTCTAATGTATCGTAGAATGTATAGGCTACTAGAATCGATAAATATTATCGCAGGCTGCTTCTTAATGCCCAGGAACATGCCAGATAGGGTTGCGCACTGAAGCAGACCAAATTTGTGCAGTCCGTTTCAGTGCGCAATATCGGCTTTTTTGCTATTTGGCATTGATAGTGTGGCTTCTAGGCCCTTTGTTTGTTTTACTTATTAAGTTATTTCTTTATGACCTGCATTGTGCACTGAAACAGACTGTTTTCCTTCCATTTGGATGCATTATATTGCCATTGGAAGATGATAAGTTAATGTATTCATGTCAAAATTAATTAATATGGAAATATAATCTCCAAAATGTTCAATTTCTTCTTTTCATGTCTTTTTCTTCTTCTTTTTTGTCCTTTTCCTTAAAAAATACTAGTCTAGGTATAGCCTTATTCTTGTTTTCTTCTTTCACCTTCTTGTGTCCACAGCACCTTTCTTTTTATCCATTATCAAAACACATACACACGGTGTAAGGAAATCTCCTGCTAGGAGCCGCACAGCTCCCAAAAAGAACACGCGTCATTGACCTTGGCCTTCCGTTATGGTCAGTACAGGAACTTCTTGCAAGGAAAAGAAGAGTAAGGCCAGGATAGAGAAAGATGAAAAGTGTCAGAAAAGAGCTAGATCTAGATCTAGAGCTGTAAACATGGTACTATTGCGCACCCAACCAGACGATATGTTGCACCAAACCAGAAACCTGCGCACCAAACCAGACACACGTTACCAAACAAACACCACCACAACATATAGAAATTTTAAACTGCTGTTACAGTAATGCGCTACACCGTATAGAGAGGAAGTTTTTCTAACTTCTGGTGAAAAAATCATGAAGATTGACCTGTAACTTCCAGAGATATCCACAAAAGATCCCTTACTGTATATCGCACCACAGTGTCCACAGGATGTACTCTAGATCTAGATCTAGATCTAGTACAGTTAGTGTGACTACAGAGTAGACAGTTCAAACTAAAAGTCGAGTCTTAGTCTTAGTTCTCTAGATTTATAATCTAGATCTAGATCTAGAAGATCTAGATCTAGATCTAGATATAGAGATCCTAGATCAAGATATCTAGATCTAGATCTAGATCTAGATCTATATCTAGATCTAGATCTATATCTAGATCTAGATCTAGATGATCTAGATTAGATTCTAGATCTAGATCTAGATCTAAATCTAGATCTAGATTCTAGATCTAAATATTGACCATTGCGTCGATCGTTGGCATTAATATAAAAACAGTGAGGAGTCGGTTACCACTGATGTTGGTATATGATTAGGGAAGTGCCGCCAGTAATGCTCCTCTGTGTCCAATGTTTACGATCAAGCCAGTGAACGAACAAGGGCGCTGCCATCTTGCCAAAGAACCGGAAACGACACAGAGAGAGAATGTTTTTAATAACGAGCACCAAATTATGGACCAAACTTGATCAACCAACTGTCATAATAATCAGATAATATTATTGTCCAAAGTGATAACTTTATTCCGCTGCCTCTTCTCACAATAGAACATTTTCTTCTAACAGTAGTAACAGAATATATTACTTTTTATACACACACACACACACACACACACACACACACACACACACACACACAC